GGGCCTCTTCTTCCCCGGCTCCTCCAACCCCTACATGTGGGTAGTTTTCTAAATTAGGGTCCCTTTTAGGTTCCTTTTTGAAAGAGTGCCGTACAATTTCCCTATTTTGGAGGACTGCCCATGTACTAAACCCCTAAAGCCTTCCTCTCATCACCCTATGCAGAAGTACTCTTTCGGCTCTTGGGGTTCGGGGCTTGGGTTCGAGAGTTTCAAGGTTTCCGGGTCTTAAACCCTACACCCGACTGCAACCCGTTTGGGCGGAACTCAGCCGGAGCTACCCCTGGCAGGGTTGGGTTGCACACCAAAAAAACGGAAGCTAGGATCGGCCCCCCGGATGTAAGTCAAACAAGCGTTACAGGCTGTAGGGGTTCAAGGTTTCGTTCACAGGGCTTAGGACGAGGTATAGAAAAAGTTGTGCCTGAAGTTGCATCTTGCAATGTTGCTAAAAATCGTTATTTTCAATCATGGGCTTCTGTTGTGGTTATGTTAGCAAATCGTGCTTTATGGTTTCGCATTTGTTTCGGGTTACTCGGCCTCCCGCAGGCTGGCATGCACATGGAAAAAACGAGAATTGGGGCTCAGCAAGATCTGTTCCGTAGTAACAGTAGCAACCACAATCATAAGTAACATCAGGCCATGTCGTCTAAGGGTAGAAGCACCGAGCCAGTGCTGCATGAAAATTGGACTTGGAGCTCAGTGATGATCGAGATGACATTGTTTCGGGAAAGCGGAGACCATAGGGCGATCTCTGCGATGTTGGCAATGGCGACATGTTGCCACTAGAGAAACTTAAACTTGGAAAAAACATGGCAACTATAGGGTAGTTCTCTAAATTAAGTAAATTAGGGTTTCTTTGTAGGTGCCCAAAAACTACGGCACCCTTATTCAAAGGACCCCAAAAAGGAACCTTATTTCGAGAACTACCAAAAAGAGAAACCCTATACCCTAAAATTAAAAACCAAACAACTGCACCCTAAACGGCCTTAAACCCTAAACATTTTGGGCGTACCCTAAACCCATGTTGAACATGCTCTCTCTGAAGTGCCTCCAGCAGTACCCTAAACCCTAAACCGCAAGACAACGCCCTAGACTGAAGCCTAAA